GAAACAGACATACTTAGCTTTCATATATGGCAGGGATTAAACCCAACCTTTTTTCAGATTCGATAGCTGTTCCATTCGACAGAACTTCATCGGAAGGAGGAACATCAACTGTCTCAGTGACCACTGTAGAAGTAGACGGCTGTTCATCATCCGACAAGACACTAAACAAAAATGAGATATGGGAAGCGAAATCTTCAACAAAACTGTTAGGTTAGTTAAGCGCTGCTGATACCGAGCATTAGGAACTGCGAGAAGAGGATGCAATGATGTGAAGAATCACATCGATAGAGGGCGCTTGTTCTCTTCGGAAATGAAAGTTTAAATAGAAATCAAAGTCATATCATGAGATTTGCCGAAGGGTTGGGATTGCCACTAGTATTTAAAATACCGAACTTCTACTATTCCAACGTATCGGTCTTCGATTGCACGTTTCCAAATGAGAGGGGAGTGTATTTCATAAAGAACGACTCTATAGAAACGTATAAACTTCAAATGTTTACAGTATTACGATCTCCTGCTTAAGATTCTGGGAAAATCCTAATTACAGGTGAATATTGAAGACCAACTGATGGTCGATAGAACACGTTGCGCCAACGAATGAGTCATCTACTCGCATGAGGAGAATATCAATCACAGCTATGTCCACTGAGCTATCTATTCCGCCTTTTGGCATTCAGACTACCCCACGAGCTTTGACTGAGAACGGCATAAAATAAAAGTTTCACATCGCAGATCTATTACTACACCTATATTCTCCATTCAGAGAACAGAAAAATAAACAAAACCTACACTTCTTCTGGTTCCGGGCTGCTGGTTCTGCAAGGCTCATGTTGAGGAACCTCGGGCAACCTCATTCCCATTACCACGGCAGGCCGCGATGGAACGGGAGGTGTTTCTCGAACGGGAGCACGCTCCTTGGGTCTGGGCTTCTTTGGTTTCACTGCTTCCATCCCTCAAAATATCAAGTAAAAAGAAAAGAAATCGCGACTTATTCAGAATTCAAGATTCTAGCTAAAAACTTGTCACTTTGTCACGAGAAGCTAATTCGGACGTCAAGTAAAATGCTTGCTACACCACGCAATATTACACCTAAAACCTATTTGTTTCAGGGGATCACGAAAGCGCCCTGATGCTTATTTATGTAAAAACTAATGTTTCTTGCCATTATCTTGTTCTCCCAAGTCGCACTTATGCTAGGTGATCTCGCAAATGGGAATATTGTAGAAGGTAAGCATTATTCGAATGTAGAAGCTAAACCATTAGATAGAACGCGAGGAAATGACCAAGTTCCCGCCTTTTAATTAAGTTAACCGTTTCCTTTATCAGTAGTTAGAGGCTGGCTATGGTTTTTTCGTCACTAATTTGACCCAAATATTTCTGATTCTGAAGCTTGGAAGCTTTAGGAATCGGCAATGACGCACTCGCCTTATTCACCTTACTAATAGTCAGCTCCATAGCATGTGTCATTAGTTATTTTATGAGGTAATTGCTTAGTTTTAATTTTATGTTTTCCTAATGTCTCTGAATGACAGATATTCCAGAGGTGCGAGGGTTGCGCAGATTCATCCCGATTTGGCTGGTGATATCCAAGGATTCCGAGATTCGTTCGCGCGAGGTCATAGCGGCCGTGTAAATGATACTAGGGTAGGTTGCGATTCCTTGTTATTTTCAGATCTAGATTTTCTAGACTTTACTTCCCTATACTCGCAAAAGGCTAAGAAAAAAAAGAAAAACCTGGCCGTCCTTCAGTACGTTGGGCAGGCTCTCTAGCCTATCGCAGCAACGTGTTAGATCGCGTAGCTCTTGGAAGGCGAATTCACGCTGAAAAGGCAACCCATTTCAAATTAACTTAGGATGGTGAGTGGTACACGAAAGAAGGAAAACCATGAGAAACGGCCCAGAACCCGAGAAATGGGACCCCTTCCTTGCCCGTTGAGCATTGATGCGACTCTCATCGTGCCCTCTTCAACGCTACGCTCTCTGCTATGTCGGTGGGCGTACCGTGCCAACTACGCCAAGAGTCAGCCATGCTAGATTGCAATTATCCCCTTCTTTGACATTCGTTTTTATCGTGGAAATCCTGTCTGTGGTGTCTGTTCATTGGACAACCATAGCTCAAGACCGAGAACGGTGGAAGAGAAGTTGGGACTCGCGCAAGACCAACCGCCAAGCAGATGGGCAAGTCGTCTAACAACAAGTATACTCGCAAAAGGCAAAGGTGGTACAGCAACAGGCACTTCCTTCTCTTTCCATAGTCAGCTGGGTCTGAGTCTGGTCAGGTCAACCAAGCTACTGTTTTCTGGTCATGTCAAAAAACTGGTACCAGATATGTCTTCGTGGTGTGTAAGCATTTCATTTACCCGGAGTTCCTTTTCTTAGCTTTAGTCCCACGATTCCTAGCTACCGCGCCGCCGTGTGACGTTTGAATCAAATGGCATGCCGTGTCGTTAGACCCGGGCGATTAGGGTGTAGACGGGTAAGTGGCCCGTGCTTAACCAGGAAGGTCTTTCAGGGCGTGACGAGCTTTTTGAAAACGGTCTTTTGCATGATATAGGGGCAGATGCGGGGACCACAGAACCATGTTTAATTTTTCCTGAACGGCCCTCTGAATACCAGAAAAGGGGGTCCCTAGTTCGATTCCTCTTGGTGACAAATTTTTGCATTTCGAGTTGACGTTCCAAAATTCGCGCAAAATGGAGTTCTGATTGTTCTGGTTGGTTCTAACTCCATTTTGCGCGAATTTTGGCACGTCAACTCGAAATGCAAAAATTTGTTACCACGAGGAATCGAACTAGGGACCTCCTTTTCTGGTATTCAGAGGGCCGTTCAGGAAAAATTGAACATGGTTCTGTGGTTCCCGCATCTGCCCCTATATCATGCAAAAGACCGTTTTCAAAAAGCTTGTCACGCCCTGAAAGACCTTCCTGGTTAGTGGATGTTAGGCTCGGCGATTGTGCAGTCGCGAGCAGCGTTGTCGCTAATAGCGGTTGCACTTTGGCGGATCTGATACACCTATCGCAGTTGAGATGCTCCACTCGGACGCGTTTTCTTTGCATTTCATGGTGATGCTCTGTACATCGCGCCACCATGGAATGTCTGCAGATTGTGATTCAACAGTGAGATGTCCGTCGGAGATGGCCCACCGCTCGGCACAATCGCGAGGTCTGACGGACATCTGAGCACGGGACGAACCAAATCGAGGCACACCTAATATTGGTACCGCATCGCGCGCATTACGTTTTACCCGTGGCGCTACGTATAAATGTGATGACGGATCATAGTGGTGTACATTCTTGGGAGCAGTTGTTGCGACAAACTGATGTCATAAAAAGTGGATTTAGAGTTTGTAAGTTTGTAGCGGCAGCGAAGAAAAAGCGGGAAGCGGCCTGATAACCGGCGAAGTAAGACATTTTTTGCTCGTTGATTCCTGCGCTCGACAAGATTCTATGATAGATAACGTTAAAAGGAGTTAATACCCTTGCTCAGCCATTCTGTACTCTTTCGCCTCTTACTACCAACCAATTATAAGCACTCTGCCATTGCCCCACGAAGGCAATGTTCACCACATGCAAGGCTGCTAAGGACGCAGATTTTACCACGAAATGACCACGTCTTACTCTCATATGGGCCTTTGCTTTCCTTCACAGTAGGCAGATTTCCCGCTTAAATTCAATTAATCGTTCCAACTGCCTTCAGATTCTTTTCTACTAATCGAGTCTTAATGTCTGAATTTGCGAGGTTGACTTTTTTTTTTATGGTAGGGGAGCATTTGAGCAATAGATTCGAACCAATGGAGCCACACTAGTACATATGATTCGATACCCTTGGCCTTGGGAAGTAATCAGCCTTCATAGGCTCATTCCACGACCAGCGGGATTTTTGATGCCTTAGAAATCCAAGCATATGAAGTGAGAAGAGAGGAGACGCGGAAAATTGCGAATTCTGACTTGAACGAGATAGTTTTCTGAGCCTATTATTTATTCCTTATTCGTTTTGAATATGTAAAATTTTCAAGCTCATGGAGATAAAGCCTCTATATTTTGTGTTTGTAGGTAGATATGCATTGTTTCAGAGGGTAGAAGTGGAACGTCCTGATGCAGTTCATACATGTCCGATCTGCTACGACAACGCTCTCTTCCCTGCACTTACTAACTGTGGTCACGTTTTTTGCTGTAAGGTTTTCGATTGCTAACGACTCCTTAAACTGGCAGGACATCCCGACTTATAGAAGCTTAGATTCATGTGCTTGCTTTCAGGTGAATGTATAATGGGATACTGGAGGCATTCTTCGTCGTTAGTATCTCCTGTAAAATGCGCCATCTGTCGAACGGAGGTTGTTATTTTTTATCTTATGGATGTATCTCACATGTCTTTCTACAATGCGTTGTTCTCTTGCAGGTCACGGTACTTCTTCCTGTTAACTGGCCTGTGGATGAGGAGAACACACGTCTTCGAGAAAACAATATTGGCCTGAACGACTACAATAGAAGATTTTCAGGAGATCGTCCTGTTCGTTGCTTGTTCACGTTGATGTCTTATCAAGTATTGCGTTCAAAAACGGCTGCTTTTTCAGTGGCTGGAGTATTTATATGATGTGCCGGTTTTGATTCCTTATATAGTGCGAAGTTTGTTTTTCGACTAATGGGCGCATGATTATGTCAGGTTGGCTTGAAATTGGCATCGCTTTCGCGAATGCTGACGTTTTTTGTTTTTATACTGTTCCATCTTAGATTACGAGTGCTCTTCATTGCGATTGGTATATTCGCCTATGTTCTGTCACCATTCGATATAATCCCAGAATCGGCTTATGGACTAATTGGTCTGTATTTCGTAACAGTTATGCTTTTTCTCCAAGAAAAGGAAGGATGGCTTTATCTGGTTCCAGTGTTATTGTTTTACAGGCCTGGTGGACGATGTGTTCGTAGCCGTCCTCTTGCTAGTTTATATAGCCATCGCTATCCGCCACGTCATGGCTCGCAGAGGAGAAGCTCCACCGGAGTAAAAGTAGATTTTTTTTTTAGAATTGTTTAGTCAAAAATCAGTCACCGGTAGAATATTCTGTGTTCAGACTTTTATTTATTTTGGTAACACTTGCGGCTGGTCAATCCGTTAACTTGTACATTTTTGAGTTCTTATTGCCTGAGATTACGAGTAATAAATGATTTTACGAGGAAATTTCGTCGAACCAAATCATCGAAGAGTGGTCCACAAACACGAACTATCATATCCCTCATTTAGGCAGGTCAAACTACCATTGCCATGCAGTTTTCTGTTTAGTTTGCGTGCCATGAACGGATCCGAATTGATTATTGGCCTGAAGTGATGCAGTCGTAGGTCACAGATTGTGCTTGGTTTATGCATGCTTTTGTGATCACTACTTTATCTCACATTTTCTCACCAGTTTTATGGGATGATATGAGTCAAAGATTGCGATAGATTGAGGATGGGGATCGAGTAAATGCAAATTCATGTGGAAATTATGGCTATTATCATACCTTTTTTGTTTCTTTTCTTCGTTTCCATCCTTTTTTCTTTTTTATGGGGACCTTGGTTTCGAGATTCAATAGCGGTTCTATTGTCGGCAGTGTTGGAGCTCTTATCACTCGGGTTCCCACAGTTGTCCTGTTTGATAGTTTGAGGTAATCTTTCGCTGAATGGGGTCTCATTGTCGCCAGGAAGTTTAGTAAAACGTGCGCTAGTCAAATTCGGTTAGAAGCTTCAACTCTATTTTTTGGATTCTGTGCATCTGGTTCACGTAATAGCCTCATTTATGGGCGTTTTAGTTGGTTGGAATCAGGGCTGGATTTAGTAGGACTGTTTCCTCAACTATTTATGAGAACAAGCGCAAGTGCACCGATTTGACCTTCATTGTTCTCAATTTTTGAGTTTTAGAACCCATTTGCAATTGTCTTCGTCAGCACAGGTCCAGCTGCGCTCTTCTGAATCGTTCCAACCAGTCCCAGATCTGTACAAATTTTTATAGATATGGGCAACGACTCGTCTAAATCGAAGTCCTCGGGAAACAAAGGTGTAGCTTCTACATTAGGTGAGACATGTAGGTAATCAGTAATATTATACATTTAATGGAAAAACTTGATACAGGTATCAGAGCAGGACCGTCACAAGCTACCGTACAGAGACATATTGAAAATGCGCAGAAGAGCAGGATTCTTCAGTTGAAGTCGTGTGGCTTGAAGACTTTGCCGCCTTCCTTGAACGAGGTTCGTGTACTTCGAATGATCATACAATTTCCTGTTCGTTTTTCATGCTTCCTTTCTCTATAGCTCCATGACGTGATACGAAATCTCGAACTCAGTCAAAATAAGATAAAGGAGTTACCACCAACTATCGGAGCGTTCGCCGTTCTCAAGCAGTTACACCTTTCTGAAAATGCACTCAGTAAGTGATTCTTCTTTAATTTCTTTATTCTCCTTCAGAAAAGAGCAAGTCATACAAATTCTTTTTGAAGCTGAACTACCTCACGAGATTGGGATGTTGAAAAATCTTGAGATTCTCCACGTTCAATCTAACAAACTGTCGTCACTGCCCGACAGCATGGTTGGCTGCACATCTCTGAAGACTCTCAATGTTTCGGCAAATAGTTTCACTCAATTTCCTGTGGTGGTTTGTCACCTGATGTCACTGGAAACGCTGAATCTCGCTCAAAATACCATCACAGAACTCCCGGATGAGGTAAACTTTTTACAAGATAC